TGCGCCCCCCGGAACCAATCATCCAGCCTCGAGCGTTCGGGAGAAGGCGGAGGCCTCCAGTGCAGCCCGACACTCTCAGCAGCCCGGGAAAGCATAGCGGTCAGCTCTGGATCTGACTCGGGCAATGCCACTCTACCTGACGGTTGCCACGCAGCCGAATCCTCATCTCCAGAGCCTAGCTCGCCCTCCGATGCAGCGATCGACATCCTGTCCTCTGCCTGTGTCCCACACAAGATGCTGGACCCCGCCCTGTCCGAGGACCCAGCACACTCGTCCGGAAACCCCAGGGGCTGCGCCATGCTTGAGGAATGAGAGACCTGCGGAGACGTACTCGACGGGGAAGCTCTCACTGTAACCCTCAGGTCTCCCTGACCATGAACCGAAGTAGCCCTCCGAGAACCGGAAGAGCTAGAGCAGGGCATGGCAAGGGGGATACCCCCCCATTTAATGAGGAGGTATCTAGACCGCAATGTCGCGATGGTCATGTTCCCGCACTGAGAACATGACTCATCCATGAATGGTGCTTCAGTGTGCTGTAAGCCCAGGCACGATAGGCAGCGATCATGACCATCAGATTGAGGCAGGAAACGACCGCATCCAGAAACGCACGAGCGGGAAACCTTCTTTAAAAAGACGCCCGTCGCTCGTGGAGCTCTTTTAGACATTTGCTCTTTTAGGAAAAAAGGAAACACTCTTTTAGAGAGAGCGCTGAAGCGCCCAGGCGAGGTCGCGGCGAGACCGCAGAATGGCAGCTGCAGCACGCCGAAGATGAGCAGCACTGAATTGCAACGCGCCGTAACACCAACACCAGCTGTTTCTTCCAAACACTCGCGGAGATTCGTCCTGAGAAGGCTCGGCTCCGAAGCGAAAAGCTGATGTGCGTTTGCACGTGCTCTCCTTTTATACCCGCGCTGCGGGGCGGGGTGCGCGTGGCGAAACACGCACGCCAACTGTCATTGGCTTGTTTAGTTTACACTCTAAGGTGATTGGGCTCTCGGGCAAGATCCCAATTCGTCAGTCATGACTGACGTAACGTAGAACGTGACTGACTGAAAGGGAACTTATTTTACAATTATTTTTGCAATGTGAGAAAAAAATAGCAATCACGCAGAGTTTCCTAACAAATTCTCATTACTGTAATTCACTGTCTGTGTAGAATCACAGGGATTCTGTAGCTTATTCAAGGGTCCCAAGGCGATAACAGGGAAACACCCTGGATGGATCCATCACAGGGCTCAAAAATGATATATGTTATTTAAATTATTGTTATATATTTTACCAGTCTAAAGTTTGGAAACACTTGACTGAACTCATGTTTCTAACAGTCTTATGCTTATGCTTAAAAGCATGAAATTAGTTTTATAAAATTGTAATATAATAGTATCTTTAACTACTGTGTATATGAATTTTAATCAGATGGCTTTACTGATGCTTATTTATGCTCTTTTTAAAATCTGGATATGTTTTCAGAAGAATCACTTAAACATTATCAGAGTATCAAAGTCACCCTTGGGTTACAGTCATACAATTCATCACCAAGACCCTGACAGCTCCAGCACAGCACTAAAAATGAACTATGGGAAACCATAAAAAGTTCATAATTGAAGTTCTGGTCCATTTTAAGCTAGATGACCGGATTTAGGCTCCACGGATAGGGAAGATGAGAGACGGTTGATTTAAAATCAGTTGATGTTAACACGAGTAAAGACATGCTGGCTTTGGAGAGCCAAATGACAAACATGATGATACATGTCATACACACCAGCGACACGACTGAGCTCGTTAATGATGTCATCAAAAGCTGTGGGCGAGAAAAATACTTCTTTAATACACGTTTTATGGAACATTTTCCAGCACACATTTACATTTTTCTATATTTGATAAGACAATGCTGAGAGATGGTACCTTTGCCAGAAACATCAATCTGTGACACATCTTGGCCTCTGTCATCGGTGATGGTTGCTTTATATAGTCCCACATCCCTCTTGGAGAACTAGAATATCAGGATAAAAAATTGAACAAAAAAACACAGCATCTCACAAAAACAGGCCACCTGAGTGATGCTTTTTTTTAGAGCATTACCGGCAGAATAGTTTTTGTGCTACATTGTCTTGGGAGTAAATTATAGCTTTTTCATATAGTTTTATAAAAATAGCTTTGACAAAAAATGTAAAAGAATAACCAGCATTACAAAAAATGACTATGGCACTCAATTGATTGAGACCCCTGGTTTCAATCCTCAGGGAGGCAGAAGCTCTTAAATTTATTTCTCATGTGAAATGTTCTTATGGTAGTTCTCATAAGATGTCAGGAGCGATTATAACAAATGCAGTATAATTTTGACATGTGTCAAGCTTCTTTGTATTTATGGAAGTTGCACAAGCTGTTTTACTTTGTAACTGTGAAGAATATCGACTGAAAAAACAGAGCAATTACCCATAACAGTCCAGCAGGGATTATTTGTCTTTTTACTGAAATAACCTTTGCTATGGCACTTAGCATTGAGCATGCTTCAGTACACTTTTGATACATTTTAAACTTTGATTATGGAAAGCACAAACACAAACGTCTGTTACTGGCTACACTAGCGGTCACGAACCCATAAATGGGTCATAGATCTGTTCTGCTCTCTGGACATGATGGAAAAAACAATTGTGAATAATGCTAATAAACTGCAATTAGCCATATAAATGTGTATTGATTCACAATATCAGGATACCATGCAAAACATTTAAGAGAAGTAGAAAAGCTTCCCCTTATATTTAGTTGTTGACATTAAAAGGCTGTGCATTAAACTCAGTTTTTTTTTTTTTGTTTAAGCAAATTCACTAATGCTAATAGCTAATACAATTTAGCCCAGTGTTTGTTTCATGTGTAAGGCTTTTAGATCACTGTTCTATTGTTTATGTATTCACTGGAAATTTTAAATAACCTGGAATATAATATTTGGGTGAAATGCTGTTTTAATATATAGTTTAGTCATGAAACTCTAGATGACGCAGGCTGATGGGTTGTTAACGTAACTGATGATATTCAGAGAGTTAAATGACTTGGCACAAGCTGATTGGTTCATGCTGCATATGCAGCCAATGAGCTTACTGCCTTGCATTTATATGGCTGGCTGGCATTCACTAGAGATTCCTGCAGCGCGCTTCAGAGTTTCTCTGAAACCCTCCACCTTCCCCAGCTTCACCTGTATTGATCTGCTACGGGGTTATTTTATATGCTATTTGTACAGCAGCAGTATGTCTTAAATACTCACGGCACCGTATCACTGTATGCATTGGAAGTAGCAAGTTCCTGTACTTACTTGCAGCAGCAGCAATAATCTACAACTACAGCAATAACCAACAGCAGCAGCGTAGCAGATCTATTCCGCCAAGACCAAATACACTAACATTGTCATATCCATCACCATGCTAAAATCTTCAGAGAGTTGTCATGATTAAAATACATTTAAATGTGTGATTTTAAGGCTTTTTGGTAAGCTTTGACAGATTAGAGTGACATTTGACTAAACTATTTTTAGCTTCAGTGTTTATGAAATGAAGTGCTCACATTAGTTAGGGGGAACTTGCAGACTCCTGAGTTCAAGTCAGCAGGCACCTCAGAAATCACCTCTACATCATCCTTATACCATTGGAACACAGAGTCCTTCTTCAAATTAGCCACCTGAAGGGGGTCAGACATGCAAAAAAAGACCATATATCATCAGTCAGTCTTCAATTTGATATACAGTTTGCTTTGGCTAAATCATTCCCGTTCAACTTGCCTTGCAAACAAGAGTGACAGAGGCATTATCACCAACTTGAATGGAGAGGAACTCCATAAAATGAGGGCCTGGAAGAATAAAAATAGAAAATTAACATTATGAAATCATGGGAAACTCAAAGAATCAGTGAGCAACTATACTGAAAAACATAAACCTAAACCAGTGGTTTGCTAGGCTTAGCTGGTCTCACAGCCTGGCAAGGATGTTTGTTATCTGGTTTAGCTGGGAGGTCAAGAGACAAAATTTGGGATTCAAAATCTACTAGTCTGAGAAGAATCTACTACATAATACAGTATAAAAACTGGTATATTATTCAAATCTCTTCTTGCATGTTCTACGGAAGCAAGTCATGCAGGTTTGGAAAAAACATGAGGGCGATGAAAGGACCTTAATTTTAGGATGAACTATTCATGCGAGCAATAGTTTTTCATTAGGGAACCAATAAGAGATTTTTGTATATAATGCAAAGCTGGTTTGTAAACCTCAAAAAAGTAATATCAAGAATGGATTACAAAACCGCAGGTTGTAATTCACTCTATCTGAAGGTTATTTCAACAGCTGCATCAACAGGATGAGTGCAGTACCCTCTTTCACACGAATGTACTCCCTCCTTTGGTATTCCGCCTCAGCCAGCGCTGCCTTGAAGGCTGGAAAAGGAAAATAAAGCAGGAACTATAAGAGGTCAGTGAGTAGAGTTCAACAGAGGAGCACGATATCTCAAGATGAGAGCTACAGAAGCCCTCAAGCGATGCTGGCTCTCACCGTCTCCGATCAGCACCAGAGAGGACTGGGCCTTGCCTCTGCCATCTTGGATCTGCACGGTGAAAGTGCCCTCGCTGTCGTCAGTGAAATGATCCATCACCATCTCAATAATGCCCGTAGCTGCATCGTGACTCATTTTAGTTTGCTGTGAAAAAGCCGGAGAGGTAAACATTTCTCTCCTGGGCTTTTCTTAGGAGGCTCACGCAAATGGAACAGAAAAACATAACAGATGGTAATATTGCAATAGAGCTGAATCTATTTATTTGGATTGGTTATGTTTTCGTGCACAGCAAAGGTTGGAGCTAAGCTTAAAGGGATTGTTCACAGAGAATGACAATTCAGTAATCAAATACAAAACCTGTATGTCTTTCTTTCTACCACAGAAAACAAAAGGCATTACTTATAGCAGAAATTCCATGCTGGCCTTTTCAGTTCAGTGAAAGGGATGCAGCAGTATTATTTTGTAAAAAAAAAAAAAAAACACTAAAATTTTAAATAACATCATTATATATGCACAGATAGATCTTGAGATCCTCAAAAAATGCTTACATTTAACGAGCGTTATTCAATTATTTGTGTTTGTGAAAATTAAGTTGGAGGACAAAGGATATTAGAATATACACACTAAAAATATAATACTACATTATTACATTTAATATATCAGCCAATATATATTCAAAATAATCTGATAACCAGTATGATACTGATATTTTCTGTATTCCTAAAGTTAAATATTTTCAGTACATAATTACTTTAGTCATTTTGAAATTAGTACAGAAGTCATATGGATGCTGTTTGTGATGCTTTTACTGTGCTGTTAAACAACTTATTTTATGTTTCATAGACGAAAGAAAGTCATATGTGGTTTGGAGGATCCTAAGGATGAGTAAATAATGACAGAATCTTCATTTTTGGGTAATATAAAACTCTCTGCTTTCTGTTTATGAAATAATGAAGACGTGGTTGCCTGTACCACTTTATTTGCAGTTGTTTACCTCACAGTTGACAAGCTCCTTGTTATTGGCAAAGAATTTGTAGGTCACAGCAGAGGAGATGCCCTCAGCTTGCAGCCAAAAGCGCATACGACCTCTCTCTAGAATCTTATAGGCCAGTTCAGTCTTCAGAGGGATAACTGTGACACAAGAGATGTGATGAGTGACAATCTGACATATTGTCTTGTGTGTTGTCACTGTTCATACGCATGACTTTACACTTGTGAAATAACACATGCCGATCATATAGAAAAATATCAAGAGTTTTTAAGCGATAAGCCATGTCCTTTTTTACAGTGAATTTGAAATGCTTAAATGCTATTGTCAGGCCACAGACTGTATAAAAACATGGACGTAGTGTCCGTGACGTCACCCGTAGGTTTCTGAAGAGCGGTTTTGAAGCTCAAAGTGGGCGGAGCCGGCCGTCGCCATCTTGGCAGCGTGTCATGCCCAGATAATCGAAAATGGGCAAAGAAGTGGGAGCTGGTTGCTGAAACCACGCCCACCTAGCTCGAAGCCGGTGACAGCGGTGGTAATCCACCTGTCACTCAAGTGGCCACGCCCTTAATTATGCAGAACTTTAAGGCTTAATATAATTTAAATGGATGAGTTATAAAAAAATTAACTCCCCTCACAGTTGTCATGAAGGGCAAAATTAACTATGTAGATCAAAATTATTTTTTGTACCAGGCTGTAAACATTTTTTTCTGCTGTAAAGTTGGGCATTAACTCCCCTCACAGTTGTCATGAAGGGCAAAATTAACTATGTAGATCAAAATTATTTTTTGTACGGCTGTAAACACATTTTTTTCTGCTGTAAAGTTGGGCATTTTAACATGGGGAGTCTATGGGACTGACTCCCTTTTGGAGCCAGCCTTTAGGGACCAGTCGATGAATTGCAGTTTTAGTCACTGGCTTCACGAGAGAGACCGGAAGGTTGCCACTTGTGTCAGAAACAGCATGAAGCTAAACTATTGTTGCCAAGTCCGCGGTTTTCCCATGGAATTGGGCTACTTTAACACTGTTGCCGCGGGTTGTTTTTCATGTCCGCGGGTTGAAGTGTCTCCAATAACATGATATTTATCATCTGGAAGGCGAATTTTAGCTGGGGAAGCCCGCCAAAAGACGTGTATTTTACCCCCCGGAACGCCATTTTTAACTGGGGACCCCCTCGAAACACCACTGGGCTAGTTTTGGGCTAGTTTTGAGTACCAATTGGGCAGGTTTTCTTGTGAAAACCTGGCAACCCTGACCTAATCCCATTTAACTTTGGTAAAATCACTGTAATAGCCTCAAGTGTTTTATAAAACAGTGGTACTAGTAATTTGAAAAAAAGACACTAATGTTCAATAGATAGTCATGTTATTATTAATAATATGTCATGTCATACAGTTTATTATTGCAGGGTCATTAATGGTTGCCAAGCAATGTAGCAACAAGGCAGATTAAAATTCAGGGTTCCCATACTTGAATATTGCCATCTATCTAGATAAAATCATAGAGTGATACATTTCTACACTCAGAAAAAGTCATTTTTAGCCAATAAATTGTTTTAGAGCAAAGAATAACTAAAAATGTATACACACTATGGAAATTTTGGAAGCACAGTGATTCTATACATTAACATTAGGTAATTATGCAATAGATAATACTTAAATTTTTTTTACATTCCAAATACTAGAACAATAACTATGGATTAATGTGCCACAAAACGAATTGTGAAATGTTACAATCATTTCCATGACCTTTTAGGATTTTCTTGTATTCCATCATTTTACAAGCTTGGAATATTTCCAAGACTGTGGGAGCCCTGAATAGTACATGTACACGTGTTGAACATGGTTTGTGTTCAATCTCTACTATCCAGGGTCACTCACTTGGGTTGCGTATGTCATAGCTGAGGGCCAACATCTTCTCCAGCTCTAAAATGGAGGACAGAGGCAACTATAAACACTTTCAAAGACATAACAGAAGACAACACAAATCTTATTAGCATTATTATTTTTATTACTAAGGATCTTTGTACAATATGTAATATTACAGGAACCCCTTCACGGCAGATGATGTAGCATCCATAATACAGATCAACACACTGACAAGTATCCGACAGCCAAATCAAATAAGATTCGAATCTGTCAGTGGAATGTTTTGATAGTGTCTGGCTCTCTATATAATTTTGAGGAAGGGTATTAATAATGAAGGTGATAGTCATAATATATTAACAGCCCTCACCTTCTGCTGAGATCTTGTAGCTGGCGGAGGCACCGTCACTATGTGTAACAGACACAGAGTATGTGCCCAATTCCTCTTTGTCTGGGTTCTTAAAAAGCAAAGTTGAGCTAAAGAAACAAATGAGCAAACATTAGTGTCTGTTCGGTGGGACATCAAAAGGAAAACAAACGGAATTAAATATGCACAGACTGTGGCATTGCCCTAAATATGCTTTGAGCTAATATGTATCTGGTCCAGATCTAGTTAGGACACATCGTACGTGTGTTTGTCTTACTGGCTGCCTGATGTCTTCACGATGATTCCCTTAGAGAAGTCAGTCATTTCTTGGTAGGACTTCTTCCACACAAACTTTGATTTCTCCGCTATTTGGCAGCTCTCAAAAGAGAGATAAATGTCACCTGATTCCTCATCGACGCCACATTTGATTTCCTGGGTGCCTTCAACATAACAGAACAGAGAAGAATTTGCACACAAGCAAACAAGATGTGCAGACTACAAAATAGGATATTTACAGTTGGGACAGAGTGGGATTATTGAAAAGTACTGTTCCCTATGATTAGAAAAAGTTGGAGGACACAATATTCAATTTATCAGATGTAAATAATGAATATTATCTCCATATACTAATTCATACATTGAATTACTCATATGGAAATACATATGATCTTAATATTAATTAGATGATATTTCGCTCCTCTGAAGATCTAAAATGGACTACGAATGTCCAGGGATGGGCAGTATTTCAGATACATGTATTTAAAATACGTATTTGAAATACAAAATACTATTTAGTATTTTGTATTTGAAAGCCTTCAGCAAAAAATCTAATGTAATTTGTATTTAAATACATTTAAGATTAGTATTTTTGCATTTTCAAAATACATAAAATACTTTGTGCCAGTCAACCTCTTTATCAGGGTGCTGATTTAGTTCAGACACACCCCCTCCCCCAACCCCAACATTCATCACGTGAGCTGCAGCTGTACAACTCCATTCAGCATTGGGTGAGTGACTTTTCTGGAATAAGATAAGGTGAGGATGTCATGGTCAATTGTACATGTTGATTAAAGTTAAAATAGTGCAACATTCAGATTTGCCGTCAGTTAACATGAAAGAATAAAAGAGCACTGACAAGGGGAAAAATAGTGTTAGCCAATCAGTTTTAATAGCTAATCGTGTTTTTTTTTTTTTTATCAACTAGCTTGTCAAATGTGTTTAAAGCATTGCTGCAGGTTAGGGCTGGGTGATATGACAATACATATCGTGGCGATGATATAAAGTGTGAATCAACGGAAATTTTTCTAAATCGTTTACATAGATAGGCCTGTTGGGGAAAGCAAATATATCCGTGTAGTGGGCAGGAATTATTCATTCATT